GTTTTTGTTGTGTTTATGTGTGCATTCATTTCACATTGAGTCTGCAACTTGGGCTCCTCGGCCATCATGCATCGAGATGCGTGATTGGTGGCCTGAGGGTCGAGAACCATACTCCCTTAAGCTTACGTAATGATAAGGAGGGTGGTTGTGCATACATGTGTTGCAAATACTTTGCCATGCCCCTTTCTTGCTCTCTGTTGCAACAAACCAGAAACTAGCAGCAAAAATTGGGCGGCCGACCAGATAAAGTGGAAAAAACGGCCCCGTTTTTTTTTTTTTTTTTCTTTTTTTTAGAATTACATTAACTTCTTATTTCATTACTCAAAAAAAAAAAAAAAGAAGAAGAAGAAGAAAAAAAAGGGCACAGTTTCATCTTTTTTTTTTTTTTTTCATGTTCTCACTATGTTTTTTTGACATGATAAATTACACTTTGTCCATATATTTGGTCACTTTTTTTATTTTAATTCTTAATTTTTTTTTTTTAAGGTTTAGGGTTTAATTTTTAAAATCCTTTCTTTTAATGCTAGATTAGCCATTCAATTAAAAGGGTGTTTAGATTTATCTATCTTTTTTTTTATAAAAATCACACTTCAATAGTTTATGCTTTGTGATCTAAACTATATGAACACTACTACTAGAAAATGTTAGAGGGAGTTCAATCTTTTGAATGCATAACAATGATAACATCGCTTATCTACTGCTTTACGTACACTTGGTTCCGGTTTCGATAAATGGGTTTCAAATGATAGCATTTGAGGTTATTAAATTTTATAAAAATATATGAGAGATGGACCGACTAAAGGAAAGATAGAATAGAGCAAGAAGACAAATATTTTACCATTATAATCATTAGCAAGAAGGATTTCAAATAACTACTTTGATATTGTCATTTCAAATCCATCATAATAAAGCTCTCAAATTCAATCTTGAAATCCATATCTAAGTTGAAGTTACTATTATTCTTAGTTTACACCTTATTGAATATTGTGTCTAATGATCAGTTTTACATTATCTTTATGTAGATGTATCTATAACATATGTTTATACTTATGTTTATGCTTGTAAGGTACATATAATCGATTGTAATTTTTTTTTCTGTATGTAATCTGTTGTAAATATCAATGTACTGTTAATTATCAACACCATAGAATAAGATACTTAAAAAAAAAGTTCTGTTTAATTCTTTCAGATTGAACCTTAAAATTGCATTTATCTAGTAAATATCACACATTTTTGTTTATATCAATATTCTCACAACTATATCTTTCATAATATAATAGTGAAGGTATTGGATTGGGGTGAGGATGGTATTGCCACGGCTGCTGAAACTGCTGCTCTTCGGGCGTCGTTTCGGCAAGAGGTGGCTGTTTGGCATAAACTTGACCATCCAAATGTTACAAAGGTAAAGCTTTTTCTTTTTTCTTCATCTTCTCTTCCTCCTCATCTTTTTGTAACATGCATGCGAAGCCTGATGGTTCTATATTGCAATACCACTTTATTCTGCCATATAACCGAATAACTTTACCTACTAATTTGTAGTCATCATACACTTAAATTTGGCTTCTATTTTTATTATTTTTTTTTCCTCTTTTGATAAATACATTTAAATTGCTTTGTTGTCTGAGACTGTTCCTCATTTTCTTCCTTTTTAAGGCTTGTGTGAAATGATTTGTTTTCTCTCCTATGTGTTTTGATATTATGCTTACTCATTTTCTTTATAGTTCATTGGAGCTTCTATGGGAACATCAAATCTTAAGATTCCTTCTGACAACACTTCAAGTGATGCTCATAATTCCCTTCCCTCCCGAGCTTGTTGTGTCGTTGTTGAGTACCTTCCGGGTGGAACACTAAAGAAATACTTAATTAGGAATTGGAGAAAAAAACTTGCCTTTGGGGTTGTGATTCAACTTGCTTTGGACCTTTCTAGAGGGTGAGGCTAGTTTCTCTTATGATTGGATTGAAATCCAAACGGAAATTTTGTTTACATATGTTTTGAATACTCTGTTTTTTTCTTTTTTACAGTTTGAGCTATCTTCACTCGAAGAAGATTGTACATCGTGATGTTAAAACAGAAAATATGTTGCTAGATTCTCGCAGAACTCTAAAAATTGCTGATTTTGGTGTTGCTCGAGTTGAAGCTCAAAACCCGAGGGACATGACTGGGGAAACTGGTACCCTTGGGTACATGGCCCCCGAGGTATTTGCACCTTGTTACTCTTCAGGAAATCAAATTTCATAATGGAAAAGCTAAATGGTTGAAAATACTCTGTTTTTTTTCTTTTTTACAGTTTGAGCTATCTTCACTCGAAGAAGATTGTACATCGTGATGTTAAAACAGAAAATATGTTGCTAGATTCTCGTAGAACTCTAAAAATTGCTGATTTTGGTGTTGCTCGAGTTGAAGCTCAAAACCCGAGGGACATGACTGGGGAAACTGGTACCCTTGGGTACATGGCCCCCGAGGTATTTGCACCTTGTTACTCTTCAGGAAATCAAATTTCATAATGGAAAAGCTAAATGGTTGAAATGTCCAAACAATCTAATGGCATAATTTTCAGGTCCTCGATGGCAAGCCTTACAATAGGAAATGCGATGTCTACAGTTTCGGAATATGCTTATGGGAAATCTATTGCTGTGACATGCCTTATCCTGATCTTAGCTTTGCCGAAGTATCTTCTGCAGTTGTTCGCCAGGTTTGTCAGCTGCATATGCAAAACATTGTTTCAAGCATTTTCATCATGTATGTAAGCTTGTATGCATCTGGAAATGCATCCACATTTAGAATCACCCAATAGGAGATGAGTTGAAAACAAGCTCAATCAATCCCCGTGTGCCTATGCTAGTATATTGATGATAAATTACCTTCTTTTAGGATCAAACCCAACAGTTTCATAGATATGAAAGTTCTAGCTTTAAATGGGTTGGATGCTAATTTGTTTATAAGGGTGCTTGGGTCGAGCAGGACCCTCCTAGAGACTTATTTTGTTGCAGCCTTGCAGGCTTCTTCATATGACTCTATATTGACAATTATAACTTTTGAATTGGTTTTTGATAGAATCTGCGCCCAGATATCCCTAGATGTTGCCCGAGTTCATTGGCGAGCATCATGAAGAGATGCTGGGACGCAAACCCTGAAAAACGCCCAGAGATGGATGAGGTTGTGGGGTTGTTAGAAGCCATAGACACGAGCAAAGGAGGTGGCATGATACCTGAAGACCAGGCTCATGGCTGCTTCTGTTTCAGCAAACCTCGCGGTCCATGATTTTTTTGGGGAAGGTTTTCATACTCATCAAAAGTATCTGTAGCACATGAACGTTGAAATTTTACACATTAGAATGTATGGAAGCCAATTTTTTTCTTTGCCGAAGCTGTTATAGCATTTTCCAAGGTTGTGACTGCAAATCTTGTCAGTTGATGGGCTGTTTTTGAAAATAAAGCCAGGTTTTGTGAGAATTGCATTTAGTCAATAATCATTGTAATTTTTTCTTATACAGTTCATTTCTATTGAATGATTTGGGGAGAAAAGAGAATGATTTCTTCGTAATTGCTTGTTTGGATAATTTAAGATGAAAGAAATGGAGAGGAATGAGAACTGGAGATAAATCATAATCCCTTATTAACTCACTTTTGAATCTCTTAAAAAAGTGGAGAGATTTGTAGAAGAATGGGACTTTACTTAGTAATTACCAATTTTGTTCTTGATTTTTATGGAAATTGATTTTTTCTTCTCTCTGCACTATCTTTTCCAATCAAGAGGAGAGGATAACACACTCTCTCCTCTTCTCTTCTCTCCTAAAGTGTATCGACACAAGACGAAAGGGTTCACTTCTATTTCTTTTCTCCTTGCGCTACTATTGAAGACTAATGAAGGTTTTGCTCTATACAAATTGTGGAAAATGGATGGGTTCGGACTAAATCCATCCAATTAAGAAACGGATTTCAACATATCAAATAATTTAAACTTATTCTTAAATGAGTGCACTAGATACAATACATTTAGAACTCGTTTATAAATTTAAATAAACGTATTTCAATTTAATAAAGTAAAGCGAATTCAATACCAGGTTAAGTTTGTCAACTCTAATCTACACAAACTGGTGGCATGAGAGCCGTTGCCGCGGTGATGTTATGGTACATTTGGATATACTATACATCAGTTATATTTAGTTATATTTAGTTATTCATACATACCATATTATCTTGTAACTACCACATAACTAAATTATTTTACTAATTTAATTTTGAATTGGCAAATGGTGTAACCGGTTACCAAAAAGAGGGCAAAGGAAATGAGAGAAGTCCAATAGTCCCAATATCACATATCTCATAACCACTAGTCACATATCTCATAACCTGCATCACATATCTCATAACTACTAGTCGCATATCTCATAATTACCATTTTTTTTTATAACCAATATCACATATCTCATAACTAACACCATTTTGCTCATAATCACACCACTTTGTTCAAAACCAATATCACATATCTCATAACTATTACCCACATGAATCATAACCACATCTCATAACCAACCCCTTTGAGTCATAACCAACATCACATATCTCATAACCATTAGTCATATATCTCATAACTAACAACACTTTTGCCCATACCTGCACGACTTTGATCATAACCAATATCTCATATCTCATAACCACTAACACATACAGCATAACATAATCAAACACCCTTTGACACCACTTTGCTCATAATCAAAATCACATATCGTATAATTACTAATCAAATATCTTATAATCATTACCCATATATCTCATAACCAACATCACATATATCATAACTACTAATCACATATCTTATAACCACACCACTTTGATCATAACCAACATTACATATCTCATAACTACTAATCACATATCTCATAACCAAACATCCTTTGACTTATAACTACATCACTCTCTTTATAACCAAAATCACATATCTAATAATCACTAATCATATATCTCATAACTTTTACACACTTACGTCACAACCACATCTCATAACCAACACCATTTGCCTCATAACCAACATCACATATATCATAACCACTAATCACATATTTCATAACCATTACTCACATATGAGGGTGTAAATTTGGCCCGCAAGTTCGCGGCACACCCTAAGTCCAGAAATTACTCTCTCTCTCCCCTTTGGGCTAAAGAAAGGGTCTAGAGATTTGTTAAAAACAATTAATGAGAGAATTTTGATTTTGACAAAATTTGGATGTTTATTCCAAATTTTTGGAGAAAATGAGGCCAAAATTATGTAATAATCATTATAAAAAACAAAATTTAAACATTTACGAATAGAGTCTTATAATAAAATAAATTATTAATTTATAATTTTGTCAATTTATACTTAATGTTTTTTAAATTTATTTTTAATATAAATCCTTCATCTATTTTTATTAAGTAATATTAATAAAAAAGACTATTTTACTCATCAACTACAAATCACACTATTAATTGGCGTAATAAAAATATTTAAACTTTTAGAAATCACAAATATCATAATCAAGTCACAAAGTTTTGTAATATAAAACACAAAATACATAACTTCATCACTAATTCGTGTAACAAAATTGTTTAAAATTTATAGAAAATAAAAAATGTCGTAACTAATTCTCAAAATTTCGTAACATTAACCAAAAATTATGTAACTATCCATTAATTGGTATGACAAAAACATCTAAAAATTTTAAAAACCACAAATGTCATAACCAACTCGCAAAATTTAATAACATCAACTATAAAATGCGTAACTGCACATCAAAATTTTTACAAATCACAAATGTCATAACTAACTAAAAAAAAATTCATAACATCAATCACAAAATGCGTAACAACATAACTAATTGATGTAGCAAAAATATCTAAATATTTTATAAACCACAAATATTGTAATCAAGTAACAAAGTTTCATAACAATTATCATAAAATGACTAAACAAATCACTAAAAATCTTAGAATCACCAATCGGGATCTCTCATAATACAAAGAAAACAAAATGTAATGACAATCATTAAATAATTTAATCAACGATTTAAATCCATGGAACAGAAAATGAGAGTTAAAGAAGATTAGCTAGTAGAGCGAGAGGAAATAGAATATGAGAAAGAGAGACTAAACGGGCTTATCGCCTGTGAAAATGACGTCAAAGGTGCTGTCGTATAGCGATCCCGGGTTTACCCTTGTTGTACAGTGATCCGGACATGTGTCCGTGGATGATAGTAGTTGATTATTACCTGGTGTACATCCTTTCTTACTTTGTATTTGAGTTATAGGATGTGTTGGGCAGGTTTGTTACAGGTTGGTTGAGTTTAGAAACCAAAACTAGTTGCCCAGATTTTGACCTGTCCGCTCGAGCGGGGGTTTTGGCGCTCGAGCGGGAATTGCACCCATCCAGTATTTTCCCGTGCAGTGTTGGACGCTCGAGCGTGGGATTGATCGCTCGAGCGGGGTTGTGCGAGTGCCCTCCGAGAGAAGATCTCCAGTGGGAAGGTTGAGAAGGGTTTGACGGTGTATCCCGACCAGAGTGTGAGATACCGAGACCGTTTATTTGTGCCGGAGTCTTGCCGAGAGGAAGTACTCCGAGAGTTCCATCATTCACGTCTTGCGGTGCATCCGGGAGGTACTAAGATGTATCAGGATTTGGGTCGCCAGTTTTGGTGGCGGGGTATGAAGAGATAGAGCTCTTATGCTTATCTTTGTGAAGTGTAGATACAGCTTATATGCTTGTCTAGAGAAGTGAAGATAGAGCTCAGTTATACATATCTGTTGAGAATGTGTATAGCTTATATGCTTATCTGTGAATGTGGGATATAGTTTTTATACATATCTGTTGAGATGATGATAGAGCTAATATGCTTATCTGTTGAAAAGGGGAAAATGAAAAGTAACTTGGACTCATAAGTCGTATGACATAAAATGTGATTTATGTGGATGTATCAGTGTTGGCCATCTATCAATTGCTAATCTTTTAGTCATTGTTCATGGTTGGTTTAGTGTATTTCTACTGGGCTGTGGCTCACCCTATATGGGAACATCATTTTCAGGTACAGGTAGCATGCCACCTCCAAGGTCATAGCTTGGGAGGCTAGAGGCAGGCAGATTTTTGTTGCTTAAGTTCTTTTTGATGTATTACATGTATATTCAAGCCGAGGACTTAATGTGTAGATGAGTTAGCACTCTTTTGTTGTAACCAAGTGTTAACTTGGAAAGCTGTAAGCCCGTAGGGCATTTTGCTTTTGTTGTTAACATGTAATACTTTTGTAATGAAACTCTAATGAATAGAAGAATGTGGATATTTCGTATGTCAATGAACGTTTTATTTGATGGGTTTAATGTAATTATTTTGAGGGCGTTACATGTCGTTTCCGATAAGGAACATCAGAGATATCTACAATGACAGTAAAGAATAAGAGAGATGCTTAAGGGATGAAGAGGACTGAGATAGTATAACAGTACAACAAAATGCGTAATATTCATTTTTCAACAGTTCTATAACATATGTACAAATTGATGATAACAAAACATTTCAAATCATAACTACAACCAAAGGTTTGTGTATGTATGATATATTAATGTAAAAGAGCTAGAGTTTTGAGATAGATGCATTTACTATATAGAGAAATATCACCAGAATGAATAGTGTTGAAATAGACAAAGAGAGTAGTGACGAGTTTAAGGATCTATTACAGAGACACAGGAATAGAGAGAAGAAGAATCCAGTGAGAAAGAACTATCAACAATGGTCGTTCAATAATTTAAGCAAAATAGAGAAGTCTGAGTAAGAAATAGAGAGAGCTCAGGCACAACTAGGACAAATCAAGGGAAAGAAAATAGAGTAGAGAAAAAAACGAAGAAAAGTTAGGGAAAAAAATTTAAGAGAAAATTTATTTAGTAAAACAAAATAAAATCATGTCATAGATAATTTTTTTCAACATATTTTTTTTATTAAAATTTAGTTAAATTATATGTATATATATATGTCTATAAGTGTATATAGATATTTTAAAAAGTATATCGTTTGTATATTACTATTTCTATTATATTTAATATAGATATTATGACCAAAAATAAATCTAAAATAGAAATAGGTGATCAATTGCAATTGTCACTTAGAGATAACACTTCAAAATTAATTGAGAGAGTTGAGAGTTCAGAGATAATGAGAGTTTGAGAGACAGATTTGTGTGTGAGAAATAAAATGAGAGAGGGGTGGTATTTATAGGACTTGGGAGGGAGGGGTTAATTTATATATATAAAAATAAAAATAATAAAATTGGTTGTTGGTAGAATTAACGGTTATATGACTGTTTCATTTTTATTTTTTATTTTTTATTTTTTATTTTTTATTTTAATTTTTGACCATTGCACTAACAGAGGGGCAAGAAGCCGTTGGGGTTGGGTGAGCCAGATGGGGAAAATTTTTTTGGGTCGAGCTCATGAGATGGGTCATACTCCATAACACACTAGAGTCGGGCTAGGCTCTAGAACACATAGCCCAGGGTCTTAGGTTAGGTTTAGGCTCAGGCCT